GTAGCTTTGATTTCATTAGAATGAGAATCCGTCCATGAAATGGGATCTTTCGAGAGAGAAAGTAATTCATCAATAATTGGACCCAGATAAAGTTCAACAGGAGGTTTTTTACGCCCAACAAATAATCCAACAAGGAAAAAATTCTCTCTTTTCATTTTCTTGGACATTTCATTTATAGTGAAAAAAATCGGGAAAATGGATACATTTGAATTATTTCCAACGGCAACTTCATCCGAATGAAGAGACAATGTGAATCTTTTAATGGAATCATCAGGATTCGATAGTTTTACTTTCTTGGCTTCTTCAGGATAAAAAGAATCATCTTCACCAATATTATTCCAAGAAGAATCTGGTAAAATAGGAAGATGAGTTGAAAGTTGTGAGCGGAGAAAAACGTGAAGAAAATATTTATCGGGTAATAATTCAGCTTCTTTCAAGTTTCCTTCACATTCATAAGAGCCCATTTCACTTGGCTCCCCACCGAAAGGGCCATGAGAGGACCAGATTCGCATAAAATGTAGACACCGATAGAGTTAGTTTTAGCACGACAATCCCAAAAATATCTGACATTGGGAAATTGAATTGAATCCGGTGAATATCTTCTCGCATAAATATTGAAAAAATTGACAACCTTTTCAGCCGCTGCAAGAGTGATTCCTGGACATGAAAGAATTGATGATAAAATAGCTTCACTGTATTCACTTTTAACTAGAATATTTTCACTTTGAGTTGTTGATGTTGAGATTTCAGTCTCTGAAGGGGTTGATTGTGAATCTTGTGAAGATAATCTTCTCGTTGAATCAATTTGTTCACTTAAAAAAACAGGAAGAAAAAGAGATCTAAATGATTGATCAACTATCTCAGATTTAACATTTGGTAAATTGTAGAGATAATTCTTGTTTTCAATTTCACTTCTTTTACGTTTACTACGTTGAACTGATCTATTTGTACTCATCTTAATTGATGTTTAACTTTTGTTAATGATGATCACAAAAAGTAAACAACTTATCTAAAATTGGAAGCGGAAATTAATCTTTTTATCAATAGAGGAAATTAAACTATTATCATGGGAAACAAATCTAAAGATAAGATGAAAAAGAACAAATATGGTAAAAAAGAATAGAACAAATGTTTGTTCTATTCTAATTATGCTATTTAAATAGCATAAATTCGAAAAAAGCTTAAATTCTAAAAAGCTTAAATTCTAAAAAGCATAAATTCTAATCTATCTCTTCTCTGATTGGTCGATCAAAAGCAGAAAAAGCATAAAAGAATAAATTTATTCTTTCTCTTCATTTTAAATTTACTACTCATGTGTTTTTGTCTTAATTAGATCTACTAATTAATTTTACAATTAGTGCCATAAATACATTTATCTGTGATAATTTTCTTGAAGTTTATGTTCAAGCGTGTTAAAGTTGACATCAAAAAAGTTTTTAAAAAAAGAGTTGGTAAAAAGAAATTCATTTCTAACCAAAGAACCTTAATTGCAACAATTTGTCGCTTAATGGAAGGTCAGACTTTAGTCGTCTGTATTTCAAGAGTGATCAACTCTACAGGAAATGAAAAAATTATTCCTTTCGGATTTAAAATTGATTCTAAAGATTTACCTAGTGATCTACGGCTAGAAAGGATTCATTCAAAGAATCTCGTTCATGTAGGAATCGATAATGTCAAGCCAATTGAAGCTATGATTGTGGCAACGGGTGGTGAGTTTCTCTTTGTTTTAATTTGATTTGAATCTAATTCTCTTACTTTCTGAATATATTCAGATGATTCTAAAGAATTAAGCGGTGTCTATAATAGTTTCGTGGATGGAATTGATAAAGGAAAGAAACAAATTTCTACATATCAAAAGCAAATCAATCACTGGTTCATCAATGAACAGATTAAAGTCACACGTTTCGATTCAAGATCATTACCAACTGTTCCAGAAGAAAATTTTGATACATTTGTTAGAAGAATGGAAATTCTGAAAAGACGACGTGCTGCGAAAGTTGGTCAGAGTAAAGCTTTTCCACAAGTAAATAGCGAGTGTATTGACATTGGTGATGATAGTGAATCTGAAGAAAATGAAACAGATGATTCTGATTTTGTTAAATCTTCAAAAAATGATTCTTCTCAAATGAATCCTATTTTTCCATCCACGAGTAAGACTTCAAAGGTGCCAAAAAAAGATTCCAGTGTCAATGAAAAGATTAATTTCACCCTGGATAAAATGAAAACGATAGCTGCTACTTATCATCCATCATCATCGGAAAAAGTTTTCTTCAGTGGCGTATGCAGTATCCTTGACTATCTGATCAAACTCAATGAAAGCTTTGTTGGTGTTGAATTTTATCAATCATTTTCTAATGATTGTGATTCATTGAGATTCATTCCTGAAGATGATCCTACAACAGAATTGAATCAAAAGGTTACTTTAGTCGAAGGACTGCTACCACTGCCAACTCATCGTTATAAACAGGCACTAGTATTCAAACCTGATAAACATAAAGCTGAAAATATTATATACAATATAATTAGATTCTGTTTTCCTGAACATTGGATTTGTGGAGTTACTTTGAGAGGATCTAAGGATAATCAATCTTTGATCTCAATATGGAATCACTTGGAACCATTACGCTATCCTCTTTGTGCACCAATTGATCCACAACTTGGAGAAAAAAGATTTCGTGCTCTTCTAGGTAACTTATAAGTTTAATTTTTCATTTGAAATGAATTTAATTTCTTAGAAAATTTTCTTTCTTTTTTATAGATCATTCAGTTCGACTTTCAGGAAAAAAATCGTATAACAAAGAAATTGAAGCTGATATGGTTTCACATTTATCAAAGGCAATGTACTATGTGCGAAGTAAAATTGTCACTGTTAGCACAATCAAGGTTGCCAAAAACGAAATATTTCTCGAAAGAGAAGATGATCCAAAATCTTCTGATCATGAATTGCAAATTCATTGTGTCGCCAAAAGTAAAGAGAAAGTGCCAAGTAAAAAGCTACGAGAGATTAAAATCACAAAATTCAGACCAATTAACGGAGGAGCTTTTGATGATATTGATGACGATTCGGATGAAAAAAATAATGATGAAGAAGAAGAAATAATTCCACCACCTAAGCGTCGAAAGTTTGAAGAATTCGTCAGAGCTCGTAATTGTGATAAAGCGGCAATGGAATCTGATGGTTCGATTTCTGATGTAACTGTCGATGCTAATCCTGAAAAGACAAAAGAATCTCAACCTTTGGAATCGAATCCAGATGAAAATACTAAAGACGCTAATACATCTGACGAAGATGTTGGTCCAAATAATTCAACTTCAATTGAATCCAATTTAGATAACGATGAAATTGTCGAAACTCAACTAGAAGTTCTTGAAGGAATCGTCAAACCTCCAACAGTTGAAACTATTGAAAAAAGTCAAATCACGTCTGATTCTGATCCTAAAACAATCGAAACATTTTCTGATCTTGATGACCAAACAAAACTTGCGGCCAGTAATGACAATGAGACAAATGATTCGACAGGAAATGCTCCTGAAACAGTTGGTTCAGAATCAAAGGACGATGCAAGTTCTTTCGTCGATGCTTCAGATCAGACTGATTCTTCATTTGGTACAAATTTTTCTTTAGTAGATATTCAAGGAGAATCTGGTTTTATTGAAGATCTTTCTATCGAAGGCCTTTTGGAACCATCAACCAAAAGACCAGCTGACCAGGAGACTTATCCACGAAAGAAGAAAAAGATAGAACAAAATCTCATCGAAGAACCTGAATCTCAGATTGAAAAAAATGAAGATTGTGAAACTGATAATTTTCCATTGACACAAAAGGTTCCAGAATTGAAAGAAAACCCAGAGAAAGATGAAAATAATCAACTCGGCCCCTGTTCATCAAAGAAAGTGGCAGTGATTACAGCATCTGATACTTCAGAAACCAGTTCAAGTGTAATAGATAAAGTATCAGCTCTGGATTTGATGATGCAAATGAGTGACGAACAGTTGATGGAAATTATTCGTGCTCGAAAGGCAAAACAAGGACAATCCAATTAATTAATTGTCCAAAAAAGTGGATTATCAGGTTTTTATGAAGCATTCTAAAATTTTTGTAATTTTTCAAAATGAAAGTCAATTATTTACTCAGCCTCAAGGACAATCTTTTTGTCGAATCAAATCAGTTTTTTTTCTATTTCTTACTTTTTGCAATTTTTTGCAATTTTTTGCAATCTTTTTTTCTTTTTTACATCAATTCAATCATAAATAGATTTATTTTTCAGGTTTAATTAGTGGAAAATGTTCCACATTACCTATACATTTTTACATGTCTTGCGATTTTAATTGCAGAAAATGTCTACAATTTAGAAGCTTCTATAAAAATCCTGATAAGAAACTTTTTTTCAAGATTTGATCATTTGATCATTTCAAACTAGAGAACAAAGTTGTATTTACAGTTAAAATTTATATTTTTCACACTTTATTTTTTCTACATCAAGTTTTTTGATTATTTTCGTATAAGTGCAAAATGCTTAAAAGCAAAGTAAAAAGAAATTCTAATTTCCCAAAAGAGAAAACTTTCTATTCTTCATCAATCGGTAAACAATTTTCAACCGAAAAATCTTCATCTTTGACCTCGAGTAGGACACCATCTTCATCGCTTCTGCCATATTCTCCAAAACCAAGTACATCTATTGCTACGGATTCGCAACCAAGGAAAGTGTTAAACCCAAGTCAAGATCAAGCTCAGTTGAGAATCAGAGATTCTATTGAATGTGAAAAATTATATGCAATCATTCTGCCTCTTTTTCTGGATGACAAAAAAAACAACATGAATCAGCCTATTCTGGTTTTATTGGACAAGAAAAAAATTGATCAATTTGGACTTTCGTTTGATACAGAGTTTTTCAAAAACGAGGAATTGAATCTGTTCAATACAAAAATCAATAATCGAAAATTCAATTTCCGTTTGATTTCAATTGGAGGTAAGATCATTATAAAAAAATTAATTACCGTATTCTAATTCCTTGTTCAGCTGATTTCTCTTGCCTCAGGAAAACATTAAGCTCTAATTTGAAAGAAAATGAGGAATGGAAGAAGCTTAAGAAAATTATCAATTTCACATCTACATCACCAATCATTTTCGAGCAGAACATTGCCACAGATCCTGAAGCAGAACTTGAATATCATATCATGAGCGAAGATGACATTAAGAATCTATTCACGACTCCACCAAAATCTGTTACAATAATTGAGCGAATTGATGATGGAAAAGCTGTTTCAGAAAATTCTCAAAATCATCAAACTGTTGAGAAAACTGTTGAGCTGGATACTAATTTACCAGTATCACAAAATGTTGCTGATAATGACGATCTTTCTAAAAAAGAAATGAATATTCATGAAAAACGAAAACTGATGGAGGAAAATATTCATGACCAGCTTGACGAGTTGAAGAGAAAAAAGATTGTTCTTCCTGAATTTGATGCAACAGGATTAGTTCTGAGAAAGGTCATTGATACAATGAGTTCTATGTATGATTTCGTGTGTGAAAAATACAACGTAATTCAATCCAGTTTGTATGAAATTCCAATAGAGGATAAGACTTATAAGAACGAAGAAAAAGTAAGTTAACATTCCGATTTTCTTAACTAGTAATCTGATTTGATTCTTTTTTCTTTTCGAATAGAACCAGATTTTTCTTGAAGGGATTCTGGAACTTCCTTTAGACAAATATGCAAAAGCCATGAAATTTGCAAAGCCAAAAAATCCCAAATCATTGGCTTATCAGTTGGTGAAGCTGACCTTTCCAAAGATATATTATGAGAATGTGTCACTCGGGAAAAAATATTATTCTCATGAAGAATTGAATTCATTCAAATCCTCGTTCATGGATGATAAGAATTGTGGAAAGTTTCCTTTAGCATTTGTTCTTGGTTTCAAAAATCCACTTTTGAATCCATTTGATGGAGATTTTGATCCTAAATTGGGCCAAAAACGAGTTGAAATTTTTCTAGGTTGGTTTCAAATTGATTGCAAGATTTTCGACAAGATTAAGTAACTATTTTTCATTTCATTCATTACAGATCACATTTTCCGTAAATCTGGATATAAAAAATATTCTGATGAAGATCTTAGTCAAGTTCGACAAAGAATCATGAGAATATTAGGATTTCTCAATAAAGAAAAGAAAACATCAAGTGGAGTGAATGAGGTCGAAGATGAAGAATTCGAGAATGAAAACGAGGATTCAGTCCATCATCCAAGCTACGGAAATTTTGAAATATTAGATGATGAGATCTTCCAATGAAAAAGTTCTAATTATACTAGAATTGACAATTTATGAATCAATTCCCATCATATTTGAAATAAATAAATAAATTGAATCTCGCAAATTGAAAAGAATCTATTCATTGATAAAAATCGATGGAAGTTATTCTATTTGAATTTTTATGTAACTAAAATCTACGGTTCGTTAAACTGAAAAGAATCTATTCATTGATAAAAATCGATGGAAGTTATTCTATTTGAATTTTTTCGTAACTAAAATCTACTGTTCATTAGAAGTTTTTCATTGATTATAATCGATTGAGACGTTTCTATAAGAGAATTATCACAAAATAATCTGACCAAATGGATTCAATTAATTGACATAATTCAATTGTGAGAATTCTTAAAATGAGCTCGAATCATTTAGATAATTTCTTACAGAGATGATTCCTCTCACTCACAAAAATCAACGAATTGATTCTTGTTTAGTCATTCTAGTTGATTGAAATAAATCAATATAGCTTGTTTATTTTCTATTTCTTTATGAAATTTAACTTTTTGTTGAATTCAACAAATATGAATTCGAATTTTTTAAAATCTATCAATTTCCGCTTATTTTACCTTAAATTATTTTTTACTCAAAATTTACTCCTTTTCACTACATTTTTACTATTTTTTTACTCAAAAACCTCATTGAGTAACTTTTGAGTAAAAGTGGTTGTTTGACACTTTTTACTCATTTTTACTCAACTCTGTTGATTGGGTGTTCAATAACAATTTCATCGGGCTATCTTTTTTTCCTCGTGATTAAAGATAAATATTATTCATTCATTTAAATTGAAATGATTTACAGAAAAAGGTTCAAAGAGACAACATTAAACGTTGATTTAGTTTAGTTTCAATTCAGAATCTATCGTTTGAACTTTCAACATACAATATTCAATTGGATTGGTAATTGGATTGGAGGTAAAATAATGATGAAGAGATAAAACTACGAAAAGTTCATTCTATCATGAATCTCAGCTCTTCGGATAGAAAGTAAACCAATTACTAATTTTTTTCGATCATTTATTTCCACTGATTGTTAATTTATGTTGGAAACACTTTGAGCCAACGAGCTCAGGGTAACATGGTTAAGGTTAAATCTTTATCGTTATAATTATGAACATTCATGTAATAGTACAAACACTGATTGAAATATTGGTGTAATAGATTTTTCCATACCTTCTAGATGAATGTGCTCTAATTGTGTAGAACTCTGAACAGTTTTCATGTTTTTCTTCATAATTCATTCAGATTGATGTTAATTTCAACTCAATTGAAAGTAATTATTCATTCCCACATAATGTTTCAGTAAACATTAATTGTTTTCTTTGTTAACATTTGCTTAACATTCTGTCTGGAATCTGAAAGCTGCTATAATTGAATTAATACAAATTAATCACTAGATGAAATGAGGTATTAAGTAAATAAATGTTAATCTCAATGAATTCTGTTATATCTACAGAGTTTAACAGAACGCTGCTCCTGATAATGATTTTCTAATAAATTATAATCCAATATCATGAAACAATCCGATGATTTAAGATAATGTATTTGTGTGATACAGTCTTTTTCGTTGGTAGAACCTTTTCTCCATCACTAGGAACCTTTTCTCACGATAGAAACTCGACTTTAACCAGATTAGACTAATCTTTCATTGACCGTTTAAAGAAACCTTTGCCAATTGACAGAAACTTTTCTCAAATTAGGAACTTTTCTGTATTAGTGACATTAGCAAGACAAGAAAAAATTTGTTCAAAATCACAAAGTTTCGGTCTTTAGCAAAGGTTCCTCGCAAATGAAAAAGGTTGCGATTTGCATTGATTGGATTATCTTTCTAAATAAACTTGGGATCTAACATTTGAGAAAGGTTCCTATCAATGGAAAAAAGGTTCCTACCAAACGAAAAAGACTGTAAGACCTTTTTTGTCTGAACTCTCAAAGGAATCATATTATAACCAAAAAATCATTGATGATGGAATTGTGAAACTTTCCTTAGCTGGGGCAGTATTATACTCAACGAGGTGCTCAATTTATGAGAAGGATGGAGGTATTCAAAATGTATCGTTTAATCAGATGATTTGTTTACGTCCCTAGAGTCAAATTAGTAACTATTTTTATAAAATCATGGTAAACAAAAAAAAAGTTTAAGGACAGCAATCGATTGATTGTTGAAACGAGTTGCTGATTATATTAAGTACTCAAAAATGTTCATAAGGTTTATCTGGAATCCAATGAAAAAGGTAAATTAAAGAATTTTATTAGAAAATTGAAATGAATCAGAAAGCGAATCACCTTTCAATTGAAATTATATTATCATGGTAAATTATCTTTCTATTTAGAATTGGCGGTTCATTTGCTAGTCATGACATTTAATTTCTGATGCCAATCAACCTGAATGATAAAATTTTTCATACATATATTATATATTAATCTGTTTTCGTGATAGCTAACAAAATATTCACAAGATCTATGAGGTTCAATTTACAATTCATTTAAATTTCTTGTTCACTGAATTGAATTCAAAGTTTCTACATGATGAAACTTCATCAACTAAGAGTAAATGGGGATCATAACATGTTATATATATATCATATAATGGATGTGATGATTGAAATTCATTAATATATTTTGTATTAGTTATTTTACGATTATATTAAGTGTTGCAAAGAGTAAATCATCTCATGATGAAGTGAGTAATTGTTATGAAAATATCATAGACATGAGCTTTAATAGATTATCCTTTGGGATAATTGTAGGTTAATTGATTCTACCGGATTAAAGTAAATTTGTATCAATGGTCACCTATTTATCGGAAAGTATTTCTATCGGTATCATGAACTTTTCTCCTTTCAGCTAATAAATGTCTAGACGAAATTGTTTTGATGAGACAAAATAAATATAATCATCATTATCACCATAGAGATGAAATTCCTTGTAACCAGGAAGAAGCAAAAACAACAGAGAAAATGAATCATACAGATAGTATCAAGATTATAGCAAAGTTTTCCTTAAAGCCAGAATTATTTATATTTCCTGTCATAAGAATCTGAATGTAATATATTCAAATCATGCATTGATAAAGTTATTAAGCTGGAAAAGGTTAATGATAACATATGAAATTATCATGAAAACAAAATTTATCTTCAACGATCAAATTTCAATTCTGATGCAACTTCATGTGTGGTTGAAATAAATTTTCATTATTAATTCCAGAATTTTCAATCATTTGAAACAACGGTTACCATGGTGATCAATGTAAAGTCGCTATGAAAGATGATATTTATCATGTTGTCATAACGATTCTAAACTGTAATTAATTTAGGGTTCAAGTGGTTTGTTTCAATAACATATAAGAGTTAGAAAATCGATCAGGTTATCGATATAAATTCCTGAAATCTGAATGTTTACCAGTTGAAAACTTTAAATAAGAATCAACAATTTGTCTGGATAATTTTGCTCACAATTTTGATTGACTGAAAAACTCATGATGATGCTCCCAGTAGCTAAATAATGATGGTTTAATGTTCATTATGATTAAGATAATGATGATTTTTGTATTGATCTGAGTTCATTAATTCATGACGAAACCCATGATATTTATATCAATATTGTTTGACCAATAAACTGAATGAAATATCACAATTGTAATGATTCATATTAGAACATCATTTATTTCGAATCAATATTGATCATGATGATTCCTTCTTGAAATCAATATCAACCAAAAAGGAGTAGAAAAAGTTCTAGTTGTATAAATAGATTGAAATTTAATAATTTTGTTCTTTGGAAATATTAGTAATAATATGATTCTTGTTGTATGAAGATTAAAATTCGAACAAATGTCGGAACAATAAAAAATGTTACATGATCTAAAAGCTGATCAATAATAATCGTTAATTATCCAAGAGTTTGATAATCATCAGTTTATCAACTAACGTAATAATTAATCACCAGCATTTGATTGATGAGAAAAAGTTTTCTCAGATTTCGATAATATTAATACATGATAAACTCATCTGTTTACTAATTAGTTAATCAACTTTCAGATTGTTCAAAGAGATTAATTCCATTTCTAGTAACGATTGGTAGAAAGTACAATCAGATCAAAATGAGAGTAACTCAGATCAGGTTTGAAATTTTATTCAACAAATTCTGATCACTTGAATCAATATATTCCTCGTTTGCAAGTTAATTGAATTGCTCTGTCATTACTGAAGACAATTATTATGCCTAAAAGATTCACTGAATTTCCGATTCACCTTATTACATGAAAAGTGCAAATTTATCATCAGAAAAGGAGGAAAATATTTTCTACTCCCTCTGGATTCTTTTACCTTTGTGGTTGATGTTATTTTTTAGACACTCGATGGGAAATTACAGAAATATTTCTGCAATTCTGTGGTGAATAATGTTTTCTTTTACCTAGTGCTATTTCCAGTTGCATGGGTTAGAATTTCTTCAGAATTCACCGACACATCCCACCTTCCACCTTCAATCTAACCTCAAATTTTCCACCTCATCATTATTTCTCTCTCTCTCCCCCCTCTCTCTCTATTTTTGCCTCTTTGTCTCTCAAAAATCTATCACTTGTCTTCCTCTTTTCCATCATCTTGTGGGTAACTTTTTTCTTCGCATCTTCTTATCATGCTTGATTTCTTATTCTTTTTTTCACCTTATTTCCTTTTTTCTAACCACTTTCCCCTCTTTTCTTCCTTACCTGATTTAGCAGAAAATGCACATTGATGCATGATTAACGAGAGATTTGTCTGACACTAATCACTATTTAATCTTCACCATAGTTTGTATTTGTCTTAGTGAAAATAACAAATTCTATATCAAGAAGAAAATTATCACCATAATCATCGTCATGCTGGAGAAAAAATCTCTTTAATCTACATATTGATACTTTATCACATTCAAAACAAACTGAATCGACTTGAAAAACTTCCTCCATTAGAATTTGAAATTTTCATCACCAATTAGATTTTCTTTTATTCAAATGATGGAGATGAGAATTGTTTTCATCGTGAATTACTTCAATTAAATATTCTTTTATTCAATTCAATATGAACATCAACTTTAAACTCGAAATTGCATCGCCAAATTACCCTAAGGGTTTACATCTAATTAATTATGAAACAGTTTCAAGGACTTTAATTAGTAACTAAATGAAAATAGAAAGTAACAATTTGAGCCAATTCTATGAGGGTATTTCGATAACAAACTTTCCAATTCAAATTGAACTTTTAGTAATCATGTTCTGCATTTGATCGCATTTTTTCAGGGTCAACACTTTAATGGAATAAGAATTCATCAGTCCAATATTAGAGCTTATGTATGTTAGCTACGATTTTTCTGCTATTCTGAAAGTTTGATTCTTAGACCGAAAAGTTGAACCTTAAAAAGAAAAATAAATTTAAAGTTTCAATTTCGAAAAGTAATTATTATGATAACTTTGAAATCTATTCTCAAATTATTAGAATAAAATTGAAATTCTTCACTTTTTTCTCAATTGAGTTCTCTTTTTGATACTTTCAATTTTGCTTTGCCTTCTCTTATATTCTGATTACTTTGAGATAGTTTATCATCCACTCTCTTTCTTTGTCTTCCTCATTATAATGATTCTTCATCTTCTAATCTTCTTCTTCTTTTTCACTCATTTCAGGTACTATTTCAATAAGCTCACCATGGTTACCTTCATGATAGAAAAGCAAATGTAAGCATTACAATGATTATATTGAAAGAAGAAGGAAGAAAAAAAATTCTGATGAATCTGATTCAGATGATAACGATAATGATGTTACACATGATGATGCAAATATGCATTCAGGTTACAATGTCTGATGAATAAATATAAAAATACATCTAGTTATCAAAACAATTCATCAGAATATCTATCTAACATGAATGCTGAATCATCTGAACATTACTTTTTCCAGTTGATCATCGTGATTACATTTAATTGATTCATTAAAAATTTTGTCTATTTGATAAACATGTTAATGATAATAGTTAATCGTTTAAAGTTTAATGAGCCTTTTAAAATGATTACTGGTTTACAAGGGAAATTTTCATTCCATGTTAAATCAAGAATGCTCAACTCTTATCATTATTATGCGTATGATGAGGATATTCATGATAATGATCATGTAATTACTCATTAACACAGGATAAATTAAGCTTTCGCCCAACCCGAAATCATTATCAACTTTAGCTACTTATCAACCGTTATTATATCAATTGGTTTGTATTATAATACATACATAGGTATACTTATGGATCAGTGTTAATAAAGAATAGCTAATAAATAGTACAACTCATGATTTAATTGTTTTATCTTAAGAGACAAGTAATCAATTTTGATAATTCTTTTTGCTCAGTTAGATTACACTATAAACACCATCTCTGTTAACTTTGGACAGTTTATCTCGAACATTACTCATCATCTGACTTTTTCGGATTTTTCACCAAATTGCTTTAAAATTAGCAAGACTACTTTGACCTTATCTTGTGGCTTATTTCAATCTTATCAGGGTTACTACAAGTGTGATAATGTTATCCAGGTACTTAAGAAGTGTTCGAAGGTACATATGTCTCATCGTCCATGATAATTACGCAATTTTTTATTTTTTTAAATTTTTAAATTATTTTTCCTGCGTTTTTTGGCGCGGATTTCTTGGCATTTTTGTGCATAGGGGCGGAAATTTTTCGGCGGGACTTCAATCCCAATTTCTCTCCTTAGTATGACTTAATGTTGACCTTGCTAAGCCAAGTTAGTAGTTAAGTAATGTCCTCTTCTACATACTTACACTCCAGCACATGAAACTCTGGAACAAACTCACACTCCAGATCAAAGTTTTCTAACCAATGCAGGGAACAATACCATTCAGTGACCATATTTGAATATTTTAGGTCAACTTCACGGCGGAACTTTACATTTCGTAAATAAGTATAAGAGGATGAGCTCATTAGATACGATGATTTCCATGATACATAACATCATTTTACGAATCATCATTTTCATAATTATAACAGTAATGTTACTACTAATATTTTTGATAATATTGAATATGACCGAATCAATCTGGCCTGATTATCGGATTAATAATATAGTGTCAATATGATCAATCGGATAATTGAGCCATGATGAGGTAAAAACAGGATGAAGTAAGCAAATAATTTCATTATTAATAGTTCAACTTTGTTTATTGCCGCTAATTTCCTTGTTTGCCATCAACAGCATCTGTTGAACCTTATCCTAACTAATTCCGTGAAGTGGTAATTATAAATAAATTTTCTACATTTTCTGCATTAAACCTCTTTTGCTTTTATTAGTATGAGAAGTGCTGAAATTTGAATTTGAAAGCTGCCAATTTAGCCTGATTCTGATCGGCTGATTAACTCGAATTGTGAGCGATTGGACCTAATCAACAATTTTGTTACGACCAAGTTAATCCGTCTAACTATTGATGAACTGTTAGCTCCATCTATGAAGTTCTTTTAAAAGACAGTATCGATGAGTCAAAGTTCAATATAATTTAATTTAGCTGTATGATAAATTAATTAAATTTATTTATCAAATATTGAGAAGAAACCAACTACTTGGCGAGTTCAGTAAGCGACGATATGACTTGGCAGCGAAGGATGAACAACATGAAGTATCGGAGGGGTGGAAGCATCAAGACGAGACCTCGATAGATAAGAGTTAAAATAATAAAGATTAACATAAAGCTATAGATGAACCATAGAATGAGAAAAACTTTTTCATGTAACACGTTTGCAGGAAAGAAGCAAAGTCCATCGTAAGAATTGGTTTCACCAGAAGGACCAAAGAATTGTAATGTACACTTGACCATTCTAGGGAAGATATATTGCAATGGATCATAAGAATTGGAGAAACTTGAACCACCCGCAGTCGATGGAAATTCTATAGGTACCGAAGATGTTGATAACATAGAAGTGATACTTTTTATATTATAACTTGAATCTAACCAAACAATACCAAGTTTTAAGAAATTGCCATTGAAAAATCGGTCAGTTGCCCATATTTGGAAGATAAGATGGACAAGGCAAAATATCTCAATGAAAATAACACTACTATAAAAAGAGCCATAAGAAAATAAAAGGTCAGCAATTGTTTGCACGATGTTCAAACGGTCAGCCTCATTATATTCATAGAGATTTTTTTAATCTTTTTTTAGTTTATCAACAATATCGGTCAAACGATGGTCCAAGAGGCGATTCCAAACCCATTTAAGGCTGAAAAACATGATAGACAGGAGCGAAAAGCAGAAAAGTTAAAGGACAAACATCATTCGAATTAAATTTTCTCACCTGGATTAATAAAGCAGAATAAACCCACTTATAATAACGAAGATGAAATTTGGATCCATTATCATTTGGAACACTAGAAGTAACACCAGTGTAGGGTGATCTCGAGGAACCAGACAGCATGATATGAATACCTTCCATCCAGCAATATTCTTTAATATTCTCAGAATTAGAGTTTGGAATAGGGTTGAAATTACATGAAATTTCCTATGAAAAAGTTTTACATGTTACGACAATAGCTTCCATAAGAAGGATTTTGGAAAATAAAGAAAAATTGAACATGGCAACCAAATTATCACAAGGGTGTATTTTCATAGAAAAAAGGGAGAGAATGTCAATCTTTTTGAAAGATTGAAATAATCTAGTGGGATCCATGGATTGATTTCGACCCTGTGTTGTACCCCAAGACATTTTTTAAATTACACAATAGAAGAAAGTACCTTGGAGTTGAAGTTGAGAGAAATAACTTGAAGTGACTCAACTGAAGACCAATTAGAGATTAACAAGTTTCTCTTCATTCTTAAGAAAATAAATTCCACGCTAGAAGTGAAATTTGATTCGTTTCATTATTAATCAAAAACAAAAAGAATCAACTAGTAGATAATATCAAAATCAGATAGATATGATCATTTGATCAAAACAAAAATCTGATGTGACTTGTTTAAATCAAAAAATGATAATTCATGTGAGATCATTTAACGTTGAGCAATTGTGGAAAATCAGTTCAAAAACTTGACCAAAACATTAGTCACAAGAAACAAATGTATAATAGTTAATTGGTCGAGAAATGATAAGCTAATGATTTATTGTACTTTACCATCATGGCCACTCATCAGTGGTCAATGAACCATTATGCATTTGTTTCTTCACATTTAAGTTAATTATAAAATGGAGACAACCACAGGACAAATTTACAATCATCCAGATGAACGCAAGAAAAATCGAAAATATTTGTTTTATCGGACAAAACAAAACCTTGTTACATGTTTCAATGTGGCAGAGGGGATATTTTTGTTCAAATTTGTGAAATGGTAGTTGACAATCGAACTCGGCGCGTTGGTATCATCAACCTTCACGTGAGAGAACGTCCAAAGTTTGCTGCCCTAATGACGCTTTATGCCACAATCGAAAGGCTTAAATCTGGTGGTGGTGATGCCGACAACACTAAACGTGATGGTGTTGATATGATAATCTTGGGTGGGGACTTTAACATCGACTCGATTTTTCATGGAGATGGTGAGGAAACCGCCGATAGTCTCCGTCTCTTTTATATTTCAACGATGTGCAATCTTGAACCCATTCCTTGTCCACCCACTTATTTTACAACTTCAGGAAAAGAGCGTTTTTACGATTACGTGGTAACTTCTAATAATGTCAAACTCGTGAATAAAGTTAATTTTGAAATTACAGAAGGTGAATTATCGGACCATTTACCAGTTGCTGCTTTATTTTTGGAAATCAGTAGCGATTCAACTACATCATCTCATCGACATGCTGATTGTCTTCCGTTTCATAAATTTGTAGATAACAAAAAAGCGGAGTTGATCGTAACTGACCTGTCGAAACTCAAATCATTCAAATTAAAACATAAAAAAATATGAATATTTTTCATCAATTCTCTCAACTATTTTGACCTTTCGCACCTAGATTTTTTACATACATCAATCAAATAACATAATAATCAATAAACATAAGATATCATCATATCAACAGAAGATCAGTCATGGCAAGAGGATGAGAGGAAGAACTGTATATGCTTCACGAAAATGAGGAAGAAAATTATTAAAATTAAATTTATATTTTAATAAAAGAAGAAAGCAAAAACAAATCAAGACCATGAGATTTTGATTCGCTTGCGGGATTTCACCAAGTAGTAAAATAAGCATAACAGCAAATTATTGATAATCATTGTTCATGATGGTTCAGCTATTATACAAATTACTAGAATGATGACAATTAAGACTTGCTCTTCTTTTGACCAATAGATATCAAAGTTGATAATACAATCCGAAAGAAAAAATTCAATGTTCAAGTTATACTGATAATGGTGTGCTGCTAGTTTTTGCATATGGAAAAATCATCAAATTCTTTTTCAGCAATGAGCTCAATGGTCCCTTGGTGGTCAAGTTCAGGCAACTAACAAGTGTCATGGAACGTTTCTCTACATGGACTCCTGAACAAAAAGAAGTTGGAAGGGTAATGATCAACAGCCAGTTACTACATTTAACACTGAAGTGTTAGAATTCGGACCAGGACGCTCAACAATTCTATGTACACATTGTTAGAACAAGTTATACAAATAGATAAATTGTTCAAGAGGCACAAAAAAATGAGGCTCTCCATAGAGAGCATGAACAGTTACGAGCAATGCTGCAAATTAAGGCAGGTGATGAAGGTAAAGAGGAGATAAGTTTCCTAACCTGGGTGATGGACAAAATGAAGAAAAAATTTACCATCAACCCTGAGAAATTCAAAGAAAATCCTAGAGGGCTTTAATCATATTTATTTTCATTTTAATATTCATTCAAATTCATTAATTTAATTAAACTAAACTTTTTGAAACTTTCAAATTTGCCGCCAAAAAAAATCATAAAAAAATTCATAAAAAAATTTCACCCTTAAACTGATCTGGAGTGTGAGTTTTGTTCTGGAGTGTCAGTATGTGCTGGAAGAGGACATTACTTAACTACTCAAGTTTTTTACCAGCTTGCAGCTCCGAAAGTGTAGAGTTTGAATTGAACAAATTTTCGACTGACCTTAATGTGCGTTTGGTCATAATGACCGGGTGGGGAATCGGATGAGTCTTTATCTGTTACCTTCTCAACACTTTGTGCAAAGTTGACCTCTAAAACCTTCGTGTTTAAAGTACTGCCATGTTCTGATTGAGTCTCCGTCAGCTGATGAGTTGAGATATGAAACTGCCTGTTTAGCGAGTAAATCGTGTTCTGATTTATTCAACATAATTGTCACTAATTAAGAAAAAACTAATAACTTATTCGTAAACAATAGAAAATGTGCTACAATTAGGGACCTTTATTTGATTTCAATCGGATGTAATTATCGATTAATTAATCATTGAAAATAGTTCCACTATTTATTAGCAGCCCCTTATTATTGTTTTTATTTACAAAAATTCAAGTTGCCTCTTAATGAATCAATTTTATCATTGATTTTATCGTAATTTTGACATTATTGTTTTACCAGATAATTAGTGATAGTTATTGAGCGATTCCGATCATTGCTTACAAATAAAAAAGTTTTCATTTGTGTTCATCAAGTGTGTCAAATGAATTTGATGTATTCACTACGTTTGAATGAGCTTTTTGATCACAATGAACTATAAATAGTAAAAGTTATCATGTTATTTATGGAAATCATGAAAAAAAATGGATACGAAGTCAGAACTGATTATGATAAATTAAAAAGAAAAGGTTGATTAATAATCTTCCTAGATGTTTTTCTCCATTACTTCAGAGATATTGTTTCTTAATGATCTTAAATGAATGCTTAGCATTACCATGGAGCTGATTTTTTTCTCGTCTCTTTTCATGATAAAATGAAAATAATTTATGCTTGGATATCAAACTTGATATGTTCAAATTACGAGACTAGAATAATGATAACAAGATGACCTAATTAAGGTAACATGAGAAAAGGTAAAATCCGTTAATCATCAGCCTAAAGGTAAAACCATAATCAAGATTATCATGAATGAAGTTGATGTTACTTTTGGACAGTTATCAGTTCTTACTTCATCTTAGCCTCAAACAATTGTCAACAGTAATAATAAACTTGACCATCAGGGGACATTTTGTTCATTACCATGAAAGATAAGATTAATTATATATGAGTGAACTTTTCACATTCTGAAATGTAGAAGCAAAAAAACGGCAACAACAAAAGTTTCACTCTATTCACATTTGATGGGTTTATCATTTTTTCACATGAGGGTGGATAGGAAAATCTATGGAAAATTATGAATAACATGGAAATAGAAAAACTCAAATAGCATGATAATGAAATAGCTCAAGAGTGAATTTCATGATAACATTAACGATATACAGACATCATCTTATCTTAAGGTAAGATAAGTTAACATTCTGATCACAGAATATTTTTGCTACTTTCAAGCTTATTACGTGCTCACCTTTTGATACCTCGATGATGCTGCTTCAAGGTTGTTATCATCAAGGAAATGGGAGAAAGAGATCGAGTGAGACAGTGAAAGGATCATGATGAAGATAAAGTTAATGCACCAAAATAACGGGGCAACGATAGATCAACAAAGATGAAGATAAAGTTGCAAAGAGGAAAAGAGGAAAAGAGCTATTTATCATCTTACTTTTTTATATCTTGAAACATCATCATGTTTCCCTCCCTGAGTTATCATATCGGTTGATGGATTAGATTATATTGACATTAACGAAGTTGAGACAGCCAGTGGGGATGAAAATGAAACTGTTTCCATGAAACATTCAGAGAAACAAAAGTTTCGCTTCCTTACTCTCACTTTTTTCTACATTTTAACGATATTGATACACAAAAATGAGTTCGTTCAGAGCTAATGTTGACAGTTCGTTTTTTTCGTTATTCTCTCCATTTTTCCATATTAATTCTCACAAAGAGAAATAAAAAATTCATTCGCATCATGATAATCTCTGTATTCAAGGTGATCACTATCAAGATCACTTGATGATAGAGAGGATAATCTAACCCAAAAGCTTTTATATTTTCTACCTGAAACGTAAACCTGGTAAATCACGAATGTAGTTCTGTTGTTTTTTGTTCTAACTACTCAAAGAACTCACGTAACTCGACCTGGACTCATACAGAAAAGTGCACAAAACTCCAGTCTTCCAATTCCATATAACTTATATAATCTTTTTTCTTGTAGTCTACTCCCTTTTTCCAGCTTCATCATGATAATACTCATCCGCTGCTTTCACATCAATTCATTGAATTGAAAATTGTCACGCACAATCATGTTTACTTTAAATGGTACAACTAATAATTATGATGGAGAAAAGAAAAATGAATAAACTTTCTGGTTGATTAACATTCAAATCGATGATCACAAGAAGAGCACAAAAAAAACTAGATCGGATAAGATCAATTCCCATGAT